AAGTGGCCCAAGCAGTGGGGACACGGGACTTACAGCGCTCACTCTGCATGTAGCGGGCCACCCCTTCCAGGGTTAGCTCATCCAGCAGACGCTCCTTTTGGGTGCCCAGGCCCAGGGTCTGGGAGAAGAAGTTCCGCAGGAAATCCACTGGCCAAAAAGAAGAGAGCCAGCGGCTGGTGGGCATTCAGCCAGGGCATGTAGATGTCCTCAGGGCCCTGAACCAGCCCTGGGGTCCCCAGTCCTCCCCGCCACTGAAGGCACAGTGCCTGGCCCAGCCAGTGGCCTCCAGACCCTGCTCTGCCCATTTCTACAAACTCCGAATGTCACTCCTGGTGGCCCCTAGGAGTGTTCCTGACCCTGGTCCTAACTCCACAGCCCGCCCTCCCTGCCCTCCACCCTCCCTGCCCTCCAAGGAGACACTCACTCTCAGCTTCTCCGCCAGCAGCTCCTCCTTCAGGGTCTGAGTCGGAGTCCTGGAAGGGTGGGGTGGGGGTGGCCAAGCCCCAGAAGTGGGTTAGGGAGGGAGGGGTGGGCGTGGCAGCGACACTGGGTTTGAGGGAAGGTTCTGGCTGGGAAGTGGCCTGAGGGAGGGGGAGCAGGAGAGGCCTAGTGCTGGGGCCACCATGAAGTCTGGGACCGGCTGCTGCGGGGCAGGGGCCCCTGGGCCTGCTGCTCCGTGGGCATGACCTCGCGAGGGGCTTTACTTTTCTGGGTCTCAGTGCCTCCTGGTGGAGATGGAGCTCAGGGCTGCCGTGAGGATGGAAGGGGTTGGCACAGGTGAGGCGCCTGCACAGCCCTCACCAGTAGGCGCTCTGGAAATGGAAGTGCTGGCTGCTGCTGTATCACAGGCCTGGCATCCACGGCCTCCCCTGTGTCCCTGTCCTGTGGAGTGTGGCCCGCTGCCCCTGCTCACGGAAGTCATTTCCATGGGCAATGCCAGCAGAAGGTCTTGGGTCCACCCCCGGTCCCCCTGCTTGAACCCCTCTCACTGCACTCTCGGGGACTCTGTCCTGGGCCCTCCTGGCTTTCCCTCGGCTACTGCCACATCTATACCAATGTCCTCGCCTCGTCACTGATAATGCCACCTCATCATCAGACCCAGGGTTCCTGAGGCCTCACCCTAGGTGACCTCTGCATTCCTCACTCTGTGTCCCAAATTGGCCTCAGCATCTCCCCCAAACCTGCTCTTCCTCCCAGGCCCCTGGGGCGGATCTCACTGTCTTTAGTCACCCCCACCGCACACCCTTGCCTGCCCGCCACGGCCCGCAGCCCCTGGTCTGTCCACTCAGCCTCCTGAGAGTCTCTCTACTGACCCCTTCTGCCACCCCAGGGCTCTTCCTGGCCCGGCCTGTCCTCTCTCCAGGGTCCTTCCCTGGCCTCCTCCTGGACTCCAGGTCTTAGTCTCTGCCTCCAGACTACCCTGGCCCTCCAGGTGACGGCTGTCTGGGTCAGCCCATTCCTCCCTGCTCCAGAGGATTCTCTGGTGACTCCAGGCTCGTCATGCCACCGCAAACACATCCACAGTCCCCGTGATGTCAGTTCCAAAGGGGCCGGGACTTGGTTTGTTCACCACTGAATGCCTGGTGCTGAGAGCACAGCAGAGCAGGGTTTCTGGAACCATCCACCATTGAATGCAAGCCTGTTCTGTGCGAGGCCAGGGCCGTACCCTGCTGCGGATCTACAAATCCACAGCTCGACCAACTCAGTCTTCAGCTTCAGGGCCCTCAGATGATGCCTCTTCCTGGCCACTYGCTATTCTGGTTCCAAGTTTTTGGAATAAGAACCTCCCTTCAAAACATATTTAAAAATAATTATCACTTTTTTTTTTTTTCAGTGCTGGGGATGGAACCTGGGATCTTGCTAGGCAAGTCCTCTACTGCTCGGCCTCAGCCCCAGCCCCTCCATCGCTTTTTAAGATTGCACAACCTTTGCAAAAACTCTGACCATTAGAAAACACATAACCTGGGCGGTTGCCTTTTGGTTTCCCTGCACCCCCGCCTTGATGCAATCACTACTGGGAGCTCAATGGTAATTGCTTTTCTCTGCATATAGAAACTATTTTTGCAGAAACCGGTCCTATCGTGGTGCAAGGCTGCGTCTGGCATTTTCCATGGAACAGCAGACCATGCAGCCACCTCATCCTTTCAGGCAGCTACACAGCATGGCATTGTACAGATGAACCATAGTTCATTTTAGGTGTCTCCTGGCAGCCATTTAGGCTGCTTCCAATCTCGCCCTATTGTGGACAATGCGTGATTTACATCCTCGCATCTCTGTGGACTGAGGATCCCTTCTTACCACGAGACCTTTTGCTTTGGCAGTGGTTGTGCTGTGGGGGCCCGGCGAGGGGGATGCCAAGGCTGACAGGAGGCTGTCACACCCTCGGCCCGGCTCTGCTGTGCCTCTGTGGGGTACTGAAATCCCAGCCTCTGCACTGCCTATATGTGAAGCGTGCTCTCAGGGTCTGGCTGGGTTGGCATTCTTTCAGGCTGCAGACAGTGAGGCTCTGTGGTGGGGTTCGGACATGGGACCTTCCCAGTAGGGGGGCCTGAGATGCTGGTGGGTGCCTTCGAGCATCTGTGAAGAGGCCAGTCTGTCTGTCCTGCAGCATCTAGAGGGCAGTGTGCCCAGGGCCATGAGATTATGGGTTTGAAATCCTTCCCTGTTTCTCTACCAAGGGACAGAAGACAAGTTACTCAACAGTTCTGCCTYTTTCCTACTTGGAAAAGGAAAAGGCCTTACTCCTCACAGGGATGCTGSGAAGATTAAAATGAGATGATGCATGAAAGCATTGATCAGAGTGCCCAGCTGGAGTAAGTAGTCAATACATGCTGCCCATGGCTATCATTAGCTGACCACCTCCAGCTACCCAATTACCCACCAAGCACACCACACTCTTTCCTGCTCCCAGGTCTTTCTATGAGCTGTACCCTCTGTGCGGGACACTACTTCCCACTGTTTCTAAGAAATTCAAGCCACGCATGGTGGTACACGCCTGTAATCCCAGCGGCTTGGGAGGCTCCTTGACAGGAGGATCATGAGTTCAAAGCCAGTCTCAGCAACTYAGCAAACTTAGTGAGGCCCTAAGCAACTCAGTGAGACCCCGTCTCTAAATAAAATATAAAAAAAGGCTCAGTAGATATGCACTCTGGCATCCAATCCCTGGTACTAAAAAATAAATAAATAAATAAATAAATAAATAAATAAAAATCGAAATCCACTCTTCGCTTGTTACATTGTGACTATATACCGCTCTGAGTCCTAGACCAGCCTGTGGGTTCCTCCAGAAAAGAGCCTCTTTTGGAACCTTCTGTGACCTACAAAGTTTGCTCTGGGCTCCCAAAGTGTCGAGCTACTGAGCTACTTTCATAATCACCTTGTAGCATCACTTTCTTGTCATTTATCCATAAGATCTGCGAGTTTAGGAACCAAATTGGATTTGGATACTTGTGTCTACTAAATGAGTAAAAAAGGAGGTTCAAAAGAGACTGGGGTTCGGGGGTGGGGGGTGGGTGCACTAAAGAAAAAGTAAAGTTTGGAGGGAAGTCCTAGGGTTGAGACACACACTTTTTTTTTCTGACAATCCCCAGAAGCCACCAGTTCCCAGGAAGCTGTACCAGTTGGGGAGAGGGATTGGGCTAATGAGCTGAGGGCCCGGGGGTCACTGTCTCCCCTTTGCCACCTCCCGGGGGTTTGGGATGTGGGAACAAGTCCATCTTTCTCCTTCCCTCCACCCTTTCCCCCATCTCACCTGAGCCTCCTGCACCTTCCCTGCCTGGTTCTCCAGAGGGTCAGAGGCTGGGGAGGAGGGGGAGCAGAGGTGGTTACAGTGGGGGGAATGGTTAAGGGGGAAGGAAGGGGTTCAAAGTGGCAGTGGCTGGGACAAGAAGACCCACCAACCTAGTTATGCTGGAATCAGGGGTGGCGGTAAACATGGAGTAGAGGGAGGGAGGGGATGGGGCAAAGCAGACCTTCGAGTGCAGAGGGCTGGTTAGAGAGGGGCCAAGAGGCCAAGGAGGAGAAGGTTTAGGAGAAGAGGGAGGAGGAAGTAGGGGTGCTGAAGGAAGACGCAGGGGAGTTAGGAAGGCCACCGTGTGAGCGCCTGAGCAGGGAGGAGTTAGTTTCAAGGCAGTGAAAAGTTTGGCGAGGAAGAGAGACCAGAAGGGATACCTTGGCTAGGAAACGGGTTTGGGAGAGAGGCGCAGTGTAGGTTTAGGAGAGGCACCGGAACTGAAGGGAAGAGATCGGGGGGAACACCAGGCACCCTAACCCTACAGTTGCCCCATCACCAGGTACCCTTAGCAACCGGGACCGCGGCAACACACTGTCCTTAGTAACGGGGGTCCCCGTCAACCAAGGGGCGAGAAACACGCGATCGTTAGAAACTCGACAAACGGGTGGACGAAGCGGACCCTTAAAACTTCGCGACCCGGGAGTCCACCAACTCGTAACGTGGACCACCTAGCAACGGCCATCGGAATCCCACTCCCCTCAAGCAGCCCCTGTCTCCCGTCCCACCGCGCCTGCCCTCGGGCCCCGGGGCCTGCAGCCCTCAGCCAGGCCCCGGCGCGGCCCGACCCTCCCACCGGGGCCCCCGACTCACGGTCCGGCTCGGCCATGGGCGCGGGGCGGGGGCCCTCGGGGCTGTCACCGACTGCTCTATCCCGTGACGGCACCGGAAATAGGAGGGGCAGGGATGCGACAGAGAACTACAATTCCCAGGAGGTATCGCGGCAGCATGCGCGCTGTCGCGTGGCGCGCTCCGCTCTTGAAAAAGGAAGACGCGCGAGAACCGGACTACGAGTCCCAGAGGGCCTGGCAGTCGGCAGCCATGTTGGTAAAGGGCGTCCGGAAAATGTGTGGTCGGCTAGAGAGCTTAGTCCCTCTGGCTACTCTGATTGGTCACAGCACGGCAAGGGGGCAGGGCGTGATAGATTTGCCCTGCTCTGATTGGGTGAAAGAGGGGGCGTGTWGGGGAATTCCCCACAGGGCGGAAGCACCGGAGCTCCCGGCAGAGCCCAACGACAGACCGGCGGCCGCGGGGGCCCCTGAGGTGGCCGGGGCCATGGCCGGGGTTGCGTGCTTGGGGAAGGCTGCGGACGCKGATGAATGGTGCGATAGTGGCCTGGGCTCTCTGGGTCCCGACGCAGCGGCTCCCGGAGGACCAGGGCTGGGCGCGGAGCTGGGCCCGGGGCTGTCGTGGGCGCCCCTCGTCTTTGGCTACGTCACTGAAGATGGAGACACGTGAGTGAACCCTAGACTGCCAAACCGAGCCCTGGGATCCGATGTCTGGTTTCCCACTAGTCTCGGATCCCTGTGGCTTCCTAACCTTTTACTCTTAAGTCTGACTTCGATGCTAGACTTCCTGACCCTAATCCCCAAGTTCTAACTTGTGACAAAACCACTCTCCTGCTTTCATCCTATCCCAATAATCTCTGACCTTCCTTTCTGGAACTCTGTTCTTAGCTCCTGGCATCCACATCCTACCTACTGACCCCCAAACCCGATTTGAACCTTCCTGGCCCCAGTCCCAAGACCTTAGTTAGAACTCTGGCTTGGGTTCCTTCTGCCCTCTAACCTCCAAATATGATCTTTGATCCTTAGCTCCTGATTTGTTTTTAGACGTTGATTTCCAAAATACTTGCCCCCAAATCTATGATCCCGTCTTCTAAGTAATGATCTCCAAAATCTTAAGTAAGTTCCACGCTACCACTCCAGACCTATTTTAGGAACTAGCGATAAGTAGTGAGGAAAAAAGACAAAAATGGGTGTCCCCTGTGGATTACATATTTTAGTAGGACAATTAGATTGCTAGAAAGACAGGAAGAAAGAGAGACAGAAAAAGAAAGGAAGATTCAGTCGAAAGGAGTAAGTGCTTTGGAGAAAAGGTAGGAAAATGAGACAAGTTTTTAAACTGAGGAGAACATTCTAGGCAGAAGGAAGGGTGGTTGAGTCCTACGTAACGGGCTGTGCCTGGGAAGTGGAAGTGTCCTATGTAAGGGACTGTACCTGGGGGTTTTGTTGTGTTTACTGTAGCATCCCCAGTGACTCAAGGAGTGTCTGACGGATGAGGCACTCAGGGATCTCAAAGAACCACCTTTGGTTTCATTAATTTTCCCTGTTGTCTTTTCAGTTTCTATTTTATTGGTCCCTGTTCTGACTTTTTATATTTCCTTTCTTCTGAGTGCTTTGGGTTTAATTTTATAGTTATTTTTTTTTAATTGGGAATTGAACCCAGGGATACTCTACTACTGAGCTATATCCTTAGCCCTTTATTTATTTATTTGTTTGTTTGTTTGTTTTGAGACAGGATCTTGCTAAATTGCCAAGGTTACCCTCAAATTTGCAACCCTGTCTCAACCTTCCAGATAGCTGGGATTACAGGCATGGGTGCGCCACCAGCCTGGCTCAAATCTTTGCTTTTTAACTGGACTGTTTAAACCATTTATGCTTAATTTAATTATTGATATGGTTATTTATTTTTGCTATTATATGTTTCTGTGTATCTTATCTTTATTTTTCTTCATTTTCTGACTTTTTGGAAGTGGAGTTTTTGTTATTCCACTTTATGTCTTTTGCTGGCTTATTTGCTATCACACTGTTTTGTTATTTTAGTGGTGGCTTTAAGGTGGGCTTGGCAAACGGTGCCTCCAGACAAAATCCAGCCAGCCACCTGCTTTTCTTTGGTTGTGAGCTAAGAATGTCCTTTGTATTTTTAAATGGCTTTTAAAAATCAGCATAATAACATTTCACGAGAAGTGAAAATTATAAGAAATTCAAATTTTATCTAGATAGGGAAGGGGGTGGGAGGGAAAGGGAGGGGGCAGGGGATTAGCAAGGGCTGTGGAATGTGATGGACATATATGTACAAATATGAAGACCCGAATTCAGGGTCAACATACTTTATATATAAACAGATATGAAAAATTATGGTATATATGTGTAATAAGAATTGTAATGCAAAAAAAAAAAACCCAAAAAACAAAGTACATGTATAAACGCATGAATTGGCGGGAACATACTCTATATACAAAGATATGGAAAATTGTACTCTATATGTGCAATAAGGATTGTAAAGCATTCCACTGTCGTGTATTTAAAAAAAATAAAATCAATATAACTAACTGAATATTTTAAAAAAAGAAATTCAAATTTTAGGCTCCATAAATAAAGTTGTATTGGAATACGGTGAGGCTCATTTATGTACATGTTGTCTGGCTGCTTTTACTACAACAGTGGAGTGAAGAGAGATTTTGTGAGGGCCGGGCTGTAGCTGTGGTAGGGACTTGCCTAGCATACCTGAAGCCCTGGGTCGAATCCCTAGCACCAGGAGAAATAAAACAAACAAAAAACCCAAGAGACTGTATGATCCCAAAGCCTAAAATAGTTATCTGTCTCCTTATAGAAAAAGTTTGTTGACTCTTGCTTTAGGGTTTATAATGTATGATCTTATCAGTGTCCCTTCAAGCAGCCCTGTGCTACCTCGCATGAGGGAAAGAACCTTAGAATGGTCAAGGTAGCTGAGTTGCCCAGTGCTTGTGTAACATTCATGAGGCCCTGGGTCCAATCCCTAGCACCTCCAAAAAAAAAATCTCCTCTTGGTCTTTATGCCATTCTTGTCATACATCTTACTTATAAACCCTATCACATGAATATTATTTTTAAAGTATCTTTAAAGAGATATTTACATATTAGGAAAAAAACACACCCATATAGTTACCATTTTCAGGGTTACTTTATTCCTTTGGGTAGAGCAATTATTTCTATTTGATATAATTTTTCTTTTCCTTGCGATTTCCTTGAACTCTTCTTGGAGCATGGGTGTGCTGGTGATTAATGCCTTTAGCCTTTGTATATCTCAAAACATCTTAGTCTTTTTTTCCCACTGCTGGGTTTAAACCCAGGGTCTTGCACGTGCTAGGCAAGTGTTTTATCACTGAGTTACCCTCCACCCCCAGCCCTTGTCACCTGTATTTGTTTCTGAAAGATATTTTTGCTGCGTAATGAATCCCAGGTTGACTGTCTGTTTTTCTGTACTTGAAAGGTGCCGCAGTCTGGCTGGGCACAAGATCACAGCCACTCACAGCTTTGTAGATTCAAACAGCAATTCTTTATTCCCGAACTCACACCGGCCCTCTACCAACACGTTCTGGGCAAAATTCACGTACTCCACCAGGCTTTGAATCCCAAATACTTTCTGAATTCCACGAGAACTCAATGGGAACTCAGGCAGCAGGATACGCCCTATTCCCAGCAGGAATAACCTTAAACCTGGAACCGCCCTAAACCCAAGGAGCGGGATACTCCCTAAAACCTGATCCGCCCTAATCCAGTAGGATCAGCTTTAAACCCGGATCCACCAGGTCCTTGAGCAGGGTTACCTTTCTCAAACATACATGCAATGTCACTTCAAATGTCCAATTCCACGAGTCCTTCCTCTAAGCAACATGGGGTACGCTGGCAAGGAAATTTCGATGCGTCATTCCTACTTGGCAATGGCCCTCAGCAGAAAGGGGTGTCTCCGTTGTGTCTTCCTGTGCATTTCCTATGTGAAATCTTCTATCTTTATTTTTATGCCTCTGAACTTATGGTGCCTTTTTTCTCTGGCTGGTTTGAAAAAGTTTTGTCTTTTAAAAAMAATTTTTTTTATTTGTTGATGGACCTTTATATTTTTTCTGTCTCCCTCTTCTTTTGGGGACCTAAATTACATGTATATAAGACTTCTTGAAGTTGTCCCATAACTCATGAATGCTATTCTCTCTCTCTCTCTCTCTCTCTCTCTCTCTCTCTCTCTCTCTCTAAGTTTTTTTTCTCTGTTTAATTCTGGATTATTTCCATCCTGTCTTCAAGTTCATTAATCTTTTCTTCTGCTGTTGTTAATCCCATCCAGTGTGTTTCTTATTTCTGATGCTGTAGTTTTTATTTCTAGGAATTCAATTTAAATTATTATCTTTTATCTCTACTGAATTTTTTGAACATATGGAATAAGGTTACATTAAAGAACATTAAAATATTCTTTGCTAATTCTAATAGCTGTGTCATTTCTGGGTTGATCGATGGTTYTGGTGACGGATTATGTTTTCCTGTCTCTTCACATGCCTGATAATTTTTGGTTAGATTCCAGACATTGTGAGTTTTACTTTTTGGGCTGTTAGTTTGGTATTCCTGCAAATATTCCGAGTATTGTTCTGGGGTGCAGTTAAGTAACTGGAAGCAGCGTGATCCCTTTGAGTTTTGCTTTTATGATTTGTTAGGTTGGTGCTGAACAGCTCTGCATCTAGGGCTTATTATCCCCACCTTGAAGCAAGACCATCCTGAGTAGTCTCCTCAGTGTCCTGTTAATTATGAGGTTTTGGTCTGGCAGGAATGGGCCCTTTTGCTGGCCCCGAGTAAATGATGGGTACTTTCCTCTAATCCTTTTGGATTGGGATCCCTTTGGGATCCTTCCAGACATCTGACAACTGTTTCTAAAACTTTCTGGTCACCATGCCTAGTATACAGTGAGTGCGCGGGGTTTGTTAAGTGAAGGAATCCAAGAGCACTTGACCTCTGCCCTCTGACCCCTGTCTTTGTCCCCAGGGCACTGCACTTGGCTGTGATTCATCAGCATGAGCCCTTCTTGGATTTCCTCCTGGGCTTCTCCGCGGGCACAGAGTACTTGGACCTGCAGAATGACCTAGGCCAAGTGAGCCACTGGGGACCACGTAGGGCACGGGGACCAGGGTTCYTGGTGTGGTCTTAACTTCTGCTCTGTGCCCCTGTAGACAGCCCTGCACCTGGCAGCCATCCTTGGGGAGGCGTCCACGGTGGAGAAGTTGTATGCAGCCGGCGCCAGGCTGCTAGTGGCAGAGCGCGCGGGCCACACGGCCCTGCATCTGGCCTGTCGCATGCGGGCACATGGCTGCGCACGCGCGTTGCTCCAGCCCCGCCCCCAGCGCCCCCGAGAAGCCCCCGACACCTACCTCGCAGAAAGCCCCGACCACGCCTCGAACCCCAGCCACACCCCCGTTGCCTTATGCTCGGAAACCGACTTGGAGAAGGAGGAGGAGGAGGAGGAGAGTGAAGAGGACTGGAAGCTGCAGCTGGAAGCCGAGAACTATGAGGGTGAGCGTCCCCGAGGGTGAGCGTCCCCCGAGGGTGAGAATCCCCTGAGTGTGAGCATCCCCAAGGGGTGAGCATCCCTGAGGGTGAGCATCCCCGAGAGTGACCATCCCGAGGGGTGAGCATCTCCCCGCCACCCCGGGGTGAGCATCTCCCGAGGGTGAGCATCCCCACAGGAAGGAGGCTGGCTCCCAGGCAGGAGAGGGTCCCAGGCCTTGGGCTCAGCTTTCCTGGCCTGAGACCCAGCCCCTTGGATCATCATCCCTAGGCCTCGGGAACCCTGGCCTTGCAACCATTGAGGCCCCAGATCGTTGAGAATTGGGCATATAGGACTTAGGACCKCCATCTAATGGTCTCAGGTCGCTTGGGACCCAAAGCTGCCACCCAGAGCTTCCAGGATCCAGTGGTTGGACCCAGGCTTCTCACCTGCACGGTGCATCCATCCAGGATCCTGTTTCTACCTACAAGTCTCAGGCCCCAGCCCAGCCAGGACTTGGGGATTCAAAACCCAGTCTTAGTGCAGTTATGGCATCTGGGTTCCCAGCTGTGGGCAGCAGCTTACAGGGGCAGCCCACCCCAGCCAGCCTCATGGGGAAGGAACTTGTCTGCCAAGGTTCCTGGCATCTGAGTGTCTCAGCTCCCCCATCTATAAGCTCAGCTACCTGGGACCAGGCTGTCTAGGTCGCTTAGGACCCACTGTTCAGAGCCTGGATCCCAGGTCCTTTGTGAAATAAGATGAGAGGCTCAGGTCTCCAGGCCTCAAGATCTGGGGCCCACAGCTCAAGATCCCAGGCTCTTCACCCACAGGCCCCAGACATCCTACAGCCCAGGAACGGCACCTGCCCACACGCTTAGCCTGCCTGGAACTCAGAATCCACCCGCCGTGCCTGGGAAGGAATTCAGGAGCCAGACCCCAGACATGACCCTTCTTGGACCCCAGCTTCATGGCACTGGGGAGCTGGGCCCCTCACCCATCGTCTCACACCAGCTGCTCTGTTCCCAGGCCACACCCCGCTCCACGTGGCTGTCATCCACAGAGACTCAGAGATGGTTCGGCTACTCCGGGATGCAGGAGCTGACCTCAACAAACTGGTGAGCTGCTGTGCAGGGCAGGTGTGCAGGGGAGGATCCGATGGTTGGGCCCAGGCTCCTCCTGGGGCCTCTGACCTCTCTGCCACACCCCACAGGAGCCCACGTGTGGCCGGAGCCCGCTGCACTTGGCAGTGGAAGCACAAGCCACCGAGGTGCTGGAGATCCTCCTGAGGGCAGGTGCCGACCCTGCCGCCCGCATGTATGGGGGTCGCACCCCCCTGGGCAGTGCCCTCCTCCGACCCAACCCCATCCTCGCCCGCCTCCTCCGTGCACATGGAGCCCCCGAGCCTGAGGATGAGGACGACAAGTCCAGCCCCTGCAGCAGCAGTAGTGACAGCGACAGTGACAGCAGGGATGAGGGCGTGAGTCAGGAGGGACACGGGGCAGCCCAGCCCGGGGGGTCAGGGTAAACTGGCACTGGAGACGGGGAGGAGATAGTTAGGCAGGGCGTACACCAGCCTCGGGCCGCCATCAAGGAACTCAGTTGGGCAGCCGCACGAGGCTGCAGGCATCAAGCAGGACAGATGGACSGGGCGGCGGGAAGAACGTGGGCAGCCGAGGTTGGAAAGTCAGGCAGCTGCAGAAGTCGAACTTGGGAAAAGGTTTGGGTGGCAGTGACTGTGACATGCGCAGGGGTCGATGGCCACGTGGGAGTGAGTCTGCAGAGCAGGGGTTGCAGAGCTTGGCTGTGGGCAGGTGACCTTGGGCAGCGCTGGGAACACTGGCAGAGGGGGAAGACCTCAGTGGCAGTGAGGAGCGAGGCCTTGGGTTGGGGAACCCGGCAGCAGACGCGAGACAGCGGGAATCTGGGGGTTGAAGGAGTGTGTGAAGGYGGGGGGGTGGGGAGGCCTCAGTGCCAGAGCGCCAGTGGCAGTGGCGGGAGACACGCACCTGGGAGCCCTGACCTTAGTAGTGCTTTGAGAGCCAGGAGCAAGGGAACCTGCTTCCAGCCAAGACCCAGTTCTTAGGGTATTGTGACTTGGGCAGTGGGCAAGGTGGCAGCTGCCTGAGCCCCTCTGCCACCCCCTCTACCCCCAGGATGAATACGACGACATCGTGGTCCACAGTGGCCGGGGCCCAAACCGGCCACCTCCCACCCCAGCGTCCAAACCTCTTCCTGACGACCCCGACCCCGTCTGATTTTGTGTTAATATAATTTCTGATTTAATAAAACCTCAGTTCTGACAACCAGCGACCAGACTGCTGTCCAGTCTCTCCCGGGCCGGCCGTCAGGGTGCAGTGCCACACGCCAGGCGAGGTGGTTTTCTCTGTGCTTTATTCACTCGGAGGTGGCAGTGGGCCAGCTGGCTGGGGGGTTCCTGAGTGAGACGGCCCAGAGCCCGCCCAGCTTGGACTTGTCCCTCAGGATTGGTTCAGAGCACACCCTGCCCCCCTCATGGTGGGGGCTGGAGTGGGTGCCAGGTGAGGTGGGGCTTGGGGCCAACAGTCCTAAGCCATTGGGTGTGCTGGGGGGGCATGAGCCAGGTCAGCCCTCCCTCCTGACCCCCTCCCCCAGCATGGCAGCGGCCTTCTGCAGCTCCTCCCGCAAGTGCTCCAGCCGCTCCAGGTCGTGTTCCTGGTGGGACCAGACACCGGGAGTCACAGGCAGGCCACCTCAGTGGTCACCTGTAAATGGAGGCCCTGTCTCTTCTCACGGTGACGGGCCACTGTGGCCATCCCAGTTGTGCCACAACCCCAGAAGAGTGGTTGGCCAACGTGACCAGCAGAGGGTCCCTGTGGACTGTCACGGCCAACAGAAGCAGCCACAGGACTGGCAAAGGCACCCGATTTGGGTGACCCATTTGGGATATGATGGCCATTTTGGTTACTACCACTAAGCATGGTGACGCGGCAATGGTGTCCCCCTCTAGCCCAGGAAAGCAGCGGCTTTCATGTGGCCGACTTGCGCATCGTGGAATGGCAGTGACGGTTAATTGAGGTGCCCCAGGGGAATAATGGTGGCCCTTCTGGTAACTGTGGTCTCAGGGGAGCCACTGTGGCCCAACGGAGTCCTTGCTTGGGTGTCGTCCTGGTCCCTCATTTGTTGTGTTTTGTTTGGTGCCAGGGATTGAACTTGGGGCCCTTGGCCACCGAGCCACGTCCCAGCCCTGTTTTGTATTTTATTTAGGGACAGGGGCTCACTGAGGTGCTTAGCGCCTCGCCATGGCTGAGGCTGGCTTTGAACCCAGATCCTCCTGCCTCAGCCTCCCGAGCGGCTGGGATGACAGGCGGGGCCACCACGTCTGTCGGTGGGTCTTGCCATGTGGCCCAGCACTAGCAGCTTGTTTGGTGACCTGTCTTGGAGACCCCCCCTTCAGCACTCACCTCCCTCTCTGAAGCCTCTTCCTGCTTGGCCCCAGGGCTTGGCGGCGGCTGCTGCTGGTGATGGTGGCGCGGCAGGTCCCTATGCCCCTCTCCTCTGCCCGCCTCGGCCCCCTGCCACAGGCTGTGGTGCCCACCCAGCATCTTCAGCCCTTTCTCCTCTGCCTCGAACTGGGCCGTCTCCTCGTCACTGGCCTTCTCTGTCACCTGCCTCTGGGGGCCCCCTCCGCCCTCCAGGTGGTGCTTCCACAGGTCCCCGAAGGTCTCCACGGGGCCGCTCTCCTCCTCCTCCTCCTTCTCCTCCTCCTTCTCCTCCTCCTCCTTCTCCTCCTTTTCCTCCTTCTCCTGCCGGAGCCGGCTGTGCAGCTGCTCCTGGACCTGGGACCTGTGGCTCCTCTCGGCCGCCGCCTCCTCTTCCTCCTCCCTCACCTCCTGGCTGCTCCGTGTCTTTCCAGCCTCCCGCTTCTTGAAGTCCCCACCCAGCAAGGCTTTCTCCTCSGGTGACAGGCAGCTGTAGGGCTCTGTGTCACACATCTCTGGCAGAAAGAGACGGTGCTCTCTGTGCCGTGCACCAGGAAACCCGCAGGGGGACTGTCCAGGACGGGGAGAGGGGCCAGCTGCGGGGCTCCCTGGCCCAGCCCGTCCCTCTGCAGGAAGCCTGCAGGGTGACCAGGCCAGGCTCGGCCAGATGGGAGCCCTGGCCGGGAGGACCCAGGCAGAGCCCCGGTGGGGTGAAGCGGGCTCCGGGGGGCCCGGGCCTCCTTACCTCTGTGGAGAAGAGCTGTGCAGGGTCCTCTCTGGACCTGGCCCAGGGTCAGCACCTCTGTGACCACCTCTGCCAGACAGCGGGTCAGCTGGGGGTGGGGCAAGGTGTCAGGGGGRCGGTGGAGGGCAGCGGAGGCGGGAGGAGAGTGACTGGAGGGACAGGGGCAGTGGGGGACGCGGAGGAGGCTGGGAGGGGGGACCCAGAGGATGGGGGGTCCGCATGTCTCACCTCCTCCTTGGAGGGCCCTGGTGCCAGGGGAGCAGCCGTGGCTGTGAAGAAGGGGGATGCTGTCCTGGGCACTGACCAGCTCCCCAGCCACCTCACCCTCCCCAGCCCGCCTGCTGGGTGCACCGTCCCCACCTGCAGTCCAGTCGGAACCGCTGGGGTCACCACCCCAGGCCCCGCTCCCTGGGCCAGCGCCAAGGCCACCCACCCCCTGACCCCTGGGATGCTGGCGCTCACCAGGGCCCAGCAGCAGTGCCAGCAGCGGGGGCAGCGTCAGCAGGAGCATGGCGGAGGCAGGCTGGGCTGGGCGCGTGTCCCTGGCCCCTGGTTGTAGGGCCAGGTGCCAGAGCCTTATAACCAGGGCAGCTCCCCGCAAGGAAGGGAGTGACCCTGCTCCGCCCTCCCAGCCTGCGGCACAGGGACAGCTGCGGAGCAGCCCGCCTGCCCCAGACCCTCAATTATTCATGGGGACGGGACCTGCACACCGCCCCCAGCTTCCAGGCCTCGGGCGCGGTGTGTCTCCTTCCCGGACACAGGGGCTGCTTCTTATGGGCCCCAGCGGGAGGAGGCCCTGGGTTGAGTCCAGGGACAGCCACTCAGACCCATCAGGGCAACCATCCTCCTCACCTAGGAAGGAACGTCACTGGCTCAAGAGGCCGCAGTTGGGCTCTGGCCTGGGTCCCAGTCCTGCCACTTGCCAGACATGCAGGCCAGGGACAATGGCTTAACTTCTGGCATTTCTGTGTTTATAAAACAAGGTTGGTGACAACCCACTCCACAGCTTGCTGGTGAGGGTGAAATAGTGTGTACGGCACGTACGACAGTGCCCGCGCGGGGGACTGCACACAGTCCACTCAGTTTTATTGAGCACCTTCTACAGGCCAGCTCCCCTCCTGGGCCCTGGGGCTACAGCAGTGAACAACCTGGCCAACACCCCAGTCCTGACGCTGGAGAAGGGGGTGACGACGACATACACACAGGTTACGTAGGGAAGGAGAGAACGCTGCAGTGAGTTCGACAGAGCACAGACGTGGGGCCATGACAACTTCGTCCTTTACTCTGGTGGAGCCGTGGGGGCTCRGGGAGGGAGGGGCAGGCGCTGACTTGGGGGTTCACAGGGCGTCAAGGGGACAGCCGGCTTCCGTGATGATCCAAGGAGGAGACACTGGGCAGCAGGACTGGCAGAGGGCAGGGAGGAGAGGGCATGACAGGCTGTGGCAAGATGCTGAAGGTGGACTGCCAAGGTCACCGACGAGCTGGACAGGGACGTGGGAGGAACTGCTGAGGAAACCTCAGGGTCGACGCTGGAGCCGGGGACGGGATGAAGCGAGGTGGGTTCCAGCGGCCAGCAGAGGCCTGCCCTGGGGGCCCGGGGCACCTGCCTGTGGCCTGGGGTTGCTGGAGGCTGCCAGCCCAGTCCTCACAGCCACAGACCCTTGATGTCGGCTGGGACCCCCTGCCGTTGCCCAGCGCCTCCCGGGTGGCCCAGGCTCTGCCCCTGCTCACAGCCGCACAGAGGTCCCTGTTCTRGCCATTTATTGAGGACCTTCCGCCCAGCACGAGGGAGGAAAGGAAGATGGAGGACAGAAGTCTGTCCGTCCTCCTCCGGTCCCAGCCGTCCTGCCTCCTGCTGCGGGCCCCAGGAGCAACAGGTCACCCAGGGCGGGCGGGCGGGGGGAGGGTTCAGGAAAACAGGTCCCTGGGCCGGGCCTCTGCAGCCCAGGCAGCAGTGACAACCACTGGTGTGTGACGTTCTCAGCTGGAGGCCGCCTGGCCAGGGTCTCTGGGCTTCCGGGGTTGGTTGGGACCAATGTACTGGAGAGGCACGTGGGTGGGGGCCGTGATCCGATCGGTGCCGAGGTAGGGCTGGAGCACAGGGGGCACCAGGACGGAGCCGTCCTGGGGACAGAGGAGGCCTCAGGACACTGCCCTGCCCAGCCGGCCCCCTCCCTGGCACTCGGGCTGGACCCACACCTTCTGCTGGTTGCTCTCCAGGAGGGCGATGAGGAGGCGTGGCACCGCGCAGGCCGTGGCGTTCACCTGGGGACAGACGGCTCAGGCCCCGRCCCCTCGCCCCTGACCCCTTGCCCTGGCCCAGGGAGGCCGCTGGGGAGGCTCTGGGCGGGCAGCCCTCACCGTGTGCGCGAACTGCAGCTCCCCGGCCTCCGTGCGGAACATGATGTGGAGGCGGCGGCTCTGGAAGTCAGTGCAGTTGGAGGCGCTGGAGACCTGGGGGGGGAGAGGGGCTGAGAAGGTGGCCACGGGGGCTGGCCTGTCCTCCCGCGCCCGCCGGAGGGCTCACCTCCCCAAAGCGGCCTCGGCCGGGCATCCAGGCCTCGATGTCGAACTTGCGGTAGGCGGGAAGGCCCAGCTCCTGGGTGGGCATGTCCAGGACCCTGCGGCCAAGGGCAAGGCCTGAGGAAGGCTGCGGCTGAGGGGAGCAGCAGAGGCCACGGAGGCCAGACGGCAGCGAGACAGAGGACAGACAGTGGCAGAGGGGAGGGGTGGGCGGTGGTGTCGGAGAGGGTGGCACAGGAGGAGGGCGGGGCGGGGGCTGGTGGAGGGAGAGAAGGCCGAGCCCCGCAGCCACCTCCCCCAGGAGCACCCAGCTCTATAATGGTCACCCGGAAAAAAGTGCCTTTCTCAGCTTTAGGGACGCGGGGACAGTGACGCCTGGGTCCTCCCTTTCCTGCCCGCTTTCCACTGGATGGGAAAGAGGCGTCCTGGGCCTGCAATGGAGGCAGGGCCCTGGGGACGGGAGCAGCCAGGCCGCATCTGCTCCCGGGAAGGTCGACAGGGACAGACAGACCTCCTGGACGTGGTCCTGTAAGCCTCATTTGGGAAAAAGGAGCAAAGGAGGCTCCAGATGGGGGAGCACCTAGCAGGTCCTTGTCCTCCTCAGCCCCGCCCTCGGCCACCCCCCAGAAGTGGCCCTCTCCGCACCGGAAGTGCAAGCCCAGCTCCGTCAAGATCTCCACCTGAAGGGACAGGAAGTCCTCCAGCAGCTGCGAGCTCTGCTCCAGCCCAGGGCCTGTCACTCCAAACATCTCCACCTGGGGCAGGGAGGGCACAGGGGTCAGGAGGCCAGGGGGGAGGGCACAGGGGTCAGGAGGCCACGGACGGGCGGGGGACACCCCTGCCAGCCAGTGCCAGCTGTGCCCACCTTGGTGAAGTGGTGCACTCGGTACAGCCCCCGGGGCTCCTTCGCCGTGTCCGTCTCAGCCCGGTAACAGGTGCTGGAACAGACCATCCTGGTGAGGAACAGGTGYGGTCAGACCAGGCAGGGCAGAGTGAACGTCCAGGTTGGGTAGGGTCTAAAGGAACTGAGTGTCACCTGACTGGCAGGTCCCTGACAGCCACAGTGTGGTCCATGAAGTAACCTGGGAGGAGAAGGGGGAAGGATGGGGTCAGCCGAGGCTGCTGCTGCCCACAGGGTGACATTCAGAAAGGCATTCCTCTGGAAACAACGCCAGGTCAGAGTATGTGGCTGGACTGTCACTGTTCTGTTGAGCAGTAAACAACCTACACAACTGTACATGTTGGCCCTTGTCCTGGGCAAGCTTCACCCACCACTGTGTGTCCCCTGACAATCCTGCCATTCCTCACCGCTCCATCCAGGTAGGTGCTCACCTGCAAGCCCGACCTCGGCCGTGCCAGCCAAGTTGAGGTCTTCGAAGCGGGAGGGGTCAATGTTGTAAATTTGGGACGGGGTGGCATTTGGCGTCATCCCACAGCCTTCCTGGGGGAAGGCCATGGGGTCAGGCAACCTGGGCCTCCCCTAGTCCAAAGTCACAGCCCCTGGTCCCCCACAGAAGCATCGGGAATCACCCTGGCCTCCCAGTTATGGCCTGACCCCCTCGACTCAGCCCTGGGCACTGTCCTCAGGGGGGCTGCTGGTCCCCCTGCCTCAGGTCCCCCACACAGGGCCTGCACCCAGGGCTTCACTCACGAACACGGCTCCTCGGAGAAGGTCTGGCACCGTCATGGGGGTGAAGCCCTGTGGGGGGGTAATCGCGTCAGGACCCAAGCTCAGTCCAGAGGAGGGACATTGCAGAGTGAGCCGGTGGCGCCCCTTGTCACACCCAAGCCCACCCCACTGCAGGGAACTGCTGAAGGCCTGAGCAGGGGCCTGGGCCTGGGTGTCCCGTGCTGGGGCTCTGGGCTGCAGTCCCTTCAGCTCCACTTCCCCCGCCTGGTCCCACCTGGGGCGGCTGGAGCTGTCCCTCGCCAGAGCCAATACCCCTGCCGTCAGCCCGCTGCCCCAGGCTCCCCAAACCCTCCACATCCACGGGCAGCTGCCCAGCAGTCCAGGCCTCACTGGCCTCCCCCTCCAGGCCTGACCTCCCGTCTCTAAGGCGGGGTGACAGCAGGCGCCTCCTTGGGTCATCACAGGAATCAAGTCTGTCCCAGTGCAAGAGGCTCCCAGACGGCGCCTGTGGCCGGCACCCTGCGCCCCCCAGGTGGCCCTCCCCTCCCCTCCGGCCCGTACCCGGCGGACCAGCTTGTTGAGGGTGAAGTTGACCAGRCCGTGCTGCAGAAGGGCCCCTGCCCCGCGGAGGTAATAGGAGCGGTGGCCGGACACGTGGGACAGGCGCCTGGGGGACAGAAGACAAGCGGGTGCACGTGGGCCGGGGCTGGTGGGGGCCAGGCAGGGCTGGCAGCAGACGTTCATGCCGGGCAGGGCCCTGGCACTTCTCAGGCACGCAGAGCCCCGGGCAGGAGCGGCCGCCAGCTGCCAGGTGGGGACAGCAGGTGCGGGGACAGGGCCTCACTTCTGACGGATGATGTCGAGCTTCTCGCCAATTTCCAGGTGGCCCCGGGGTTGGAAGGAGAAAGCTGGATGTGGGTGGAAAGCAGAGGGTGAGGGGAAGGAAGGGTGGGGGGAGAAAGGGCGAGGAGGGGGGCCAGGGAAAGAAGGAGGGAGACCAGTGGGTGGGACGCAGGGGGAGCGGGGAGAGCGGGGGAGGCCCAGGGAGAAAAGCTGAGGAACAGGGACATGGAAGGACAGGGAAGCACAGGAAGGGAGAGTGAATCAGGCAGGGGAGTGCGCACAGGCAGGGAGGGGGTGATGGGGGAGAGGGAGGGGGAGGGGGTGGGGGAGGGGTGTAGGTCTGGGGAGGGGAGGGGGAAGGAGCTGACAACTGCCCAGATACCCGAGCCCTCAAGACCCGAAGACGTGCTGCCCCTCCAAGCGCCCGGCCCAGACAGCGCCCTGGGCCTGGGGCATGGCCCACCTGGCTTTTCCCCGACTACGTGGAGCACTCGGGCCTGGCTCTCATCCCCGATGGGCTGCAAGGAGACAGGGCGTTGTGGGGGGCGGCCTGGGGGCCGGTCCTCCCTCGCCACCCAGCACGGCACTCACGGCGTCTGGGTGGGTCTGGTTGGGCAGCCTCAGCGCCCGCACGTAGAAGCGCTCCTCGAGCTGGGTCTCCCTGGGGTACAGGGGCGCGAGCTTCTTCCGGATCTCCCGGCCACGTGCCCGTAGACCCTGGTATTGAGGGTCCTGAGGAGGGAAAGGGGGTCAGCCCGGGACAGAGTAGAGCCCCCAGCCATGGACCTCAGTCCTCCTGCAGGGTCTATGGGACACTTCTTTGGGCCCCGCATCCTGAGCTGCCTTTCAGGAACCGCCCCCACCACACGGCAGCTCCCGGCCGAGGCTCCCATCTGGACCCCGGGACAGCCTAGTGCTCTGGCCACCGGGACAGGCTCAAGACGGACACGTGACCTGAGRTGAGCTCATGAGACCGAGCCCAGGACCTGGCTGGAGCCACCAGGACTGTGTGCCTGACCCCTCATTCCCTTCCCCAAGGGGACGACGCTGGGCTGGGGGTGCCAGGGAAGCGCAGCGGCCACACCTGAAGGCGGCTTCGGAGTCAGGAGTCGAGGAGCTGGGCGCTCCCACCCGAACCACTACCACCATGGTGCCTCCCTGCCCACCCACCAGGCCGACCAGGCCGAGGTGGACTCCCTGGGTACCTGCTGCACTTGGCTGTTGTCCTGGTTCACCTGGTGGAAAGAGATGGGGGSATTAGCGGATTAACTCGCAGGGTGAAGGCCAGCCGACGCCAAGGGATCTGAGGCTCTGCTGTCACTGCTCCGCTGGGAAGCCACAGAGGCCAGGCGACAGTGACACACCTGCGGCTGTCAGGCTGTTGTTCATTTATGTGTCTTTCATTTGGGGCATACTTTAGTTTTCTCAGGGGGGCTCTACCACTGAGCCACGTCCCCAGCCCTTTTTACTTTTTATTTGATTCTTGCTAAGTTGCCAAGCCTGGCCTTAAACTTGAGATCCCCCTGCCTCAGTTTCCTGAAGGTCTGGCTGCAGCTGCATTTATCACCTGCCCCTCCTGCCAGGCTCTGGGTGAGAGGCCTCACATGACCTTACCTCACCGCCACTCTGTGAGGCCTGCGCAAAGTGATCCCCATTTGGAGATGAGGAAACTGAGGCTCAGGGAAGGAAAAGTCTGAGAATGTGGACCCAGAGGCCTGYACCCAAGGGCCTTGGATGTTCTGAACCTTCCATGATCCAGAGCAGCTGAGGGCATCAGACAGGTGTGGGTCTAAATGCCAGGGTGCCCACCAGTGCTGTGCCCTTAGGCCAATCTCTTGCCTTCTCTGGGCCTCAGTCGCCCCATCTGTGAGGTGAGACGATGGCAGGCCTCCCTGGCAGGGAGCTGGCAGCTTCTCCCTGAACACTGCGGTGAGCTCCGCTGTCTGTGGCCACCTGCTTCAAGCACAGCCCAGGGCCCTGCACAGGGAGATGGAATCCCCGGGGCGAGGCCTCTCCAATTCCTGACTGCAGGACTGAGGCACATCAGCCTCTGGGGYCTCAGTCTCCCCAGATGAAACCCTGGGCTGGCACTGTTCCTGTCGCCGAGCTGCTGCCAGGATGAGGAATCTGGGCAGCACCGGCCAGTGCCTGGTGCGCACTGAAGGCTCTGTGATGTCTGCCATGGGGGGGACGGGACCCCGGGCCTCGTGCTCTCTACCACTGAGCTGCAGCCCCAGCCCTGAGCTTGCTTTCGAGCCCTCTCTGGCAGAACCTCTTGGTTCCRGGATCCCTGCTTTCCCCTTCCCCATGGAACCTGCTCCGCTGGGCCCTCCCCAGGCAGTTGATGGTGCATCCAGCTGAGGCCGGGCAGCCTAGGCGGGCAGCAGGGCCTCCATCCCCTGCTGATGTCGGGCGTGGGGTGGGGCCTGGCCCGAGACCCGAGGGGTCTCTGCTTAGGGAACCATCTCCCTGCTCCTGGAAAAGGCATCAGGCCAGAGAAGTCTGTTTCCTGCCCCTGGCGGAGTCAAGCAAGGCGATGGCGCACTGCGGCAGCCACCATGGAGCTGACAGAGGGCAGGCAGGGCACCCACGCTGCAGGTGCAGAGGGACAGGGCCTGGCGGGGACTCGGGGAAGAGCTGCTAAGTCACCCCTAGGGATGCCGGGTCCTGGCCACTGTTCCGTGAAGCTGTCGTGTGCACAGGTTCAAGCGCCTGCACTGGGAGGGACCCTCACTGCCGCTCCCCACCTGCTCAGGCCCACGCTCACCAGCAGGGCCCGCACGGCCTCTGTCACAGCCTCCTTCTCTGCCTCCAGGCTCCGGATCTGCTCCCGCAGCTGCCTCAGCTCCTGCCACACTGCAATCTGGGGGGTGGACGCAGGACGGAAAAGGTGAAGCCCTGGCTCCTCTCTGAGGCCTCGCCCTGCTGGTCACCTGGCCCAGTGGTGTTCCCAGGCAGAGCCCCCGCTGACCCCAGCAGCCTTTCTCCCCACCYCCACTCAGAAGCACCTTTCCTGATGTTTTGGTGGCACGTGGCGCCCCTACGAAGACAAAGCTCCATTCTCCCTGGCAGCTGCTCTTGTCCACGTGACCAAGACATGGACGTGCCTGTGACTCTTGGGTCACCTCCCTAAAGATAAGACCCCACCCCGAACTTTCTTTTGCTCACTCCCCTGGGACTAGACCGTGGACCAGGAGAAAGGCTGACCCCTGCAGAAACCGATTCCAGGCTTAAGGAGAGACCTAGAGTAACGGGTGTGGACTGCGCGTCAGTGTCCCCTGATCCAGGTTTTTTGGTTTTTGGTACTTACTGGGGACTGAACTCTGGGGTATTTACCGCTGAGCTACATGACCAGCCCTTTTKAAAAATTTTGAGACGGGTCTCATAAAGCTGCCCAGGTTGGCCTCAAACTTGGGGTCCTCCAGCCTTAGCCTCTGAGTCACTGGGATCAGACATGCACCACTGCACCCAGCCTGGGTCCCCGGCCCCCAAATTCATGTGAAAATCCTAACTCTCAACGTGAAGGTATTAGAGGTGGGCCTTTGGGAAGTCCTGAGGAKCGCAGTTAGTGCCCTCGTAAAAGGGATCACAGAAGCTCCCTCCCCTCCCACCACGAGGACGCGGAAGATGGCATCTACGAACCAGACACCAAACCTGCTGGTGCCTTGATCTTGAACTTACCAGTCTCCAAATCTGAGAAACAAATCTGTTTACATAAGCCCCCAGGTCTGTGTGTTGTTACAGCATCCCAGACTGCTGCCACTTAGAAGTGCACGCTGAGTGAGGTTAAGTACACTGTGGGGTGCGTCCCCATCGTCCAGCTCTAGAATGGCTCCGTTTTCCCAACTGAAACCCTTGAACAGGGACTCCCCRTCCCAGCCCTCACCCCAGGCCCGGTCTCTGTGAAGTATTCCAGGTATTTCTCAGAAGTAGAACGGCTGGACCACGTGGTAATYCTGTATTTAACTTTTTGAAAACTGGCAACAGGACCGTGGCAGCTCACTGTTTTACACTTCTATCTGCGATGTGGAGGACTCTAATTCCTCCTAACAGAATTCTTGACAATGTTTATTTTTCTGCCCCCCCACCCCGTGATGGAGAAATGGAAAATGCTCTCTCTACCCTGAGCTCCACCCCAGTCCTATTTTGTTCTTAAACAGCCATCCTAAAGGGCATCTGTCCACTTTCTGCTTTTAWAACAGAATACCAGAGGCTAGGTCATGTATAACAGAAAGCAGATCACGGTTCCAGGGGCTGGAAGTCCAAAATCAGATGACAGCATCTGTCGAGGGCCTTGAGCTGTGGCACARCTTGGCAGGAAAGTGGAAGGGCGAGTGGGTGTGAGTGAGACAGGAGCGGTGGCCTGTCTTTATAAAAACCACTCTCAAGGGCTGGGGCTGGGGCTGGGGCTCAGTGATAGAGCACTTGCCTCGCACATGTGAGGCGTTGGGTTTGATCCTCAGCACCACATAAAAATAAATAAGCAAAATAAAGAAATTGTGTCCATGGATAACTGAAAAATATTTTAAAAAACCACTCTCAAGTCAGGCACAGTGGCTCACGCCTGTAATCCCAGCCGCTCGGGAGACTGAGACTGGAGGATTACTGGTTCAAAGCGAGCCTCAGCAACAGGGAGGCACTAAGCAATTAAGTGAGACCCTGTCTCTAAATAAAATACAAAATAGGGCTGAGGATGTGGCTTAGTGGTTGAGTGTCCCTAAGTTCAATCCCAGGTACCTCCCCCCCAAAAACAAACAAACAAACAAACAACAACAACAAAAAAAACAACTACTCTCAAGATAACTGACCCATTCTGGAGGGAAAAGTATTAATCCCTCTTAATGTAATCGCCTCTGAAAGTTCCCCCTACATCTTAACGCTGTTATACTCAGGATCAATTTGCACCATGAGTTTTGGAGGAAACAAACCACATCCAGATCATAGCAGGGTCTAATCAATCACTTTAAAACCAAAAGAGAATTAAAAAAAAAAAATTCTTCACACATGCTAAGAGCAGAAAACTTTGGTTTCAATTGTGGATGTGTGAAATGTATTTCTTACTTTTGGCCACAAAGACTGGAAAACCCTACCAAAGATTGTGACACTCTAAGTTACCTTCCATTACGCATTGGCTGTTGTAAACACCGGTCCCTCCACTTGGAACACACCTGTTCCCTCAATTTCTGGATCTCACGCAATCCACTGATCTTTACCTAATGCCACCCACCTCCTGAGCCCTCTCAGGCATGCTCTACTTTGCCTCCACAGCACTTAACATAGATTATAATTACGTACTTATAACTGTATGTAAAATACTTCTTTTACTAGACTGAACTCGGATCATCTTACTCATGGGAGAGAATAATGGAGCAAAGACTGGATTCTGGAGTCAWGACAACACAGGTTTGGGGCTGGGCTTGTAGCTCAGCGGTAGAGTGCTTGCCAAGCACATGTGAGGCACTAGGCTCCATCCTCAGCACCCCATATAAAATAAAATAAAGGTACTGTGTCCAACTACAACTAAAAAATTTTTTTTAAATGAAGCTGGGGATATAGCTCAGTTGGTAGAGTGCTTGCCTCCCATGCACAAGGCCTGGATTCGATCCACAGCACCACCAAAAAAAAAAAAAAAAAAAAAAAAGAAGAAGAACATGACACAAAATTCCCTCCCACTCTGTCACTTACCAACATCACGATCTTGGGCAAGTTCACCTCTCTGAGCCTTAGTTTCCCCTCTGATGTAATCAGGGAAATAACAGCACTTAGTTCATAGGGCTGTTGCAAAATTAAGTGAGGCTAAAGTCTAAAAACCATTTAGAATAGGCTAATAAAGAATCCAAGAAAGGCTGGTAAGACTTGGGGACCTCATTATACTCAGCCCACCTCTAGAGATACGGTGACCCTGGTTCTAGTTTCCTAGCATGTAATGTTATACAAGCGCGAGTGACTTAGTATTTATTCACCGCCTTTTCTCAACGCCTGGAAACGCAGTAAGCGCTTCTTAAAACACCTGCTCAATGAAACCTTTCATTCATTCTTTGGTTTGGAATCAGGGACTAGAAACCCAGGGGCACTCACCCCTGAGTCACATCAGCTCTGTTTCTGATGTAGGGTCTTGTTAAGTTGATTAGCGCCGTGCTAAACTGCTGAGGCTGGCTTTGAACTCGCGATCCCCCTGATCCCCCTGCCTCCAAGCCGCGGGGATCGCAGGCGTGCACCACGCGCCCAGGGAACCGTCCATTCTTAAACTCAATTCACCTGCTCGTTCCTCGCTCTCCCCAAGAGCTTCACCCCTCATCCCCATCTGACTCACACCCCGTTCCTAATTTTCTTTGCGGACTTACAGCAAGCCCGGCGAGAGGCTGGACTACAGAGGGTACTGGTAATGGTCAATTCCTAGAGCACAGCGGGTACCCAGCGCCAGTACGAAACAGACGCAAGATGGCACAGAAAGCATCTTTGGCATATAGTAAGGTCTTAGCATACAGCAGGGACAAGCGCCACATAAGTGAGTGCCAAGCACAACATACTGGCTAAACTCGAAAAGAAACTAAAAATTCCTGCAAATAGCTGCCCCCGGCGTCCCCTAGCCATCGAGAGCACGTCTTGCAAGCCCAGTCAGCCGGCGCAAGCGCACTCACGATCGCGGGCAGATCAGCCGGCCGCAGCTCCCCCTTGCGGAGGTCCAGGGCACGCGCGACCTCTTCTGGGCATGCGCACAGAGGCTCCATATCCAACTGAGGGAGAGCGCTGTAGCCTTCGCGCGCGTGCTCGTACAGAAGGTTCCGGTCTGGTTTCTCTGCAGCGAAACTCCTCCTTGGGTTCTGGCTGGAGACACAGTTTCCCTGGGGCCGAAGCCCTCGACGAGCCAACAAAGGCCACAAACGCCGAGCCATGGACGCAGCCATCTTGGACTGGGAACAAAGAGTCACGCACTCTTTATCCCGCCCACTCCGCATTTACACCAATTAAAAAGCAGCTCTACTGCTCGGGATGAGCCAATCAGACTCTGGAAGAGATTATCCTTCCAGTGCCTTAAAAACTGTTCAATGGGGAACGTGGACTGGGATAGACTCTTCTATGGCCCAATCATCGTCTGAGTCCCACCCCGTCAGGGATAAACGAGCCAATCACTGCCTCGGTAGCACCCGGAAAGGGCTTGAGGCACTGTTCAGCGTGTCTGAGGACGGTGCGAGGGTCGGTGAGGTCAGTGCAGTCCTTAGCTCCTGCCAACCTCCCCGGCCCACTTTCCCCTTTCCTTCTGCATGCGGACGAGGGCGTCTGGGTCCCGGGGATCCTGGTCAGAGCGAGGCTAAACTTGCGAAAGGACTCTGGCTGTGCGGCTAGACCTTTAGAGGAGGCTCCTTAGGTTCTGAGAGCGGGACTGGGAGAGTCTGACACCTTTTGCGACTACGGCCACTTTATCCTCCTTTCTGAGTCTCTTAATCCCTAACACGGGGACGCACCAAGCGGCGGCATGTCCTGGTCTCATCTTCTCCGTGGTCTCAACATGTCCCTAAGTCGTGGTAAGTTGGGGGCTTGGGCTGCAGGGACTGAGAGTTCTCCTCTTTGGGATTTTCGCGCCTCTGTCAGAGCCCGGATGGAATCAGTGAGTTTAATTCAGTACGTACCTGGTCCGTTTTTGGCGGGGCTGTGGGTGCAAGAGCAAGAGGTGGTGGGAGGTAGATGCACTGATGTTTACTATGACTAGTAAACTAGTAATGCCCGGCATAACGACGTTGAGGACCATATATATACGCAKTGGTGATCCCATTAGATTATAATGCCCAGTGATGTCCTAGCCTTCTTAGTTTAAGAACAACATAAGATCGCACAACAAGGAAATTGGCTACCATGCTGGGCGCTGAGGCATACACCTGTAATCCCAGRGACTTGGAAGGCTGAGGCAGGAGGATCCTGAATACAAAGCTAGCCTCAGCAATTTAGCGAGGCCCTGARCAACTTACTGAGAYCCTGTCTCAAAATAAAACATAAAAAGGGATGGGATGTGGCTCAGTAGTTGAGCACCCCAGGTTCAGTCGTTGGTACCAATGGGAAGAATAAGTGGCCAATGTCTTCTCACTTAAGTTCACCTGACTGTATTTGTTCCTTCTGCAAGTTATTATTAAATACCTCTCATGGGTTAGACATCCAAGCAAGGCCTTTAGCCATTCATTCAATTGATGTTTATCCTGAGCCTACTAGGTGCCAAGCACTGAAGGAACTTCTCAGGCATCCTGCCCTCTGAGGCATTTCATTCACCTATTTACTGTGCCAACTTTTCTTAAGCCCCTCTGTTTGCCATTCCCCTGAGGATCACAAARGTGGGCAGGACAGGCCTGCCCCCTGCCGTGGGAATCAGAGCTAGCTGGAAATGCATTGATTCGTGGGAGTTTCATACACACTACTGAGGAGGAGACATGGTCATAGTGCCCAGGATGCAGATGGGGAAACCGAGGCACTGACAGGCCAAGAATCTTGTTCAAGGACTCATCACTAGTCAGTGACTTCTAGAAACGACTCATTCCTTTTGAGGATTCTGATGTCACTTTTTTTTTTTTTAAGTTATAGATGGACATATTCCCTTTATTTTACTTATTTATTTTTCTATGGTGCTGAGGATCAAGCCCAGTGCCTCACATGTGCTAGCTAGGCAAGTCCTCTGCCACTGAGCTACACAGCCCTSTACTGTCACTCTTACAGAAGGAGACACTGGAGTTGACAAGAGGTTGAGGGCCTGCTGGATACRGAGTGTGAAGTTGTGGTGCTGATGGGGTATCTATGCTAGTGACAGAGGAAGAGGAGGTGGATAGATGTATGACACTGTAACCTCAGCCCAAGAACTTGCACAGGGCCCAATGCTCCCCATTGCTGCTATGTCTGTATTACTGGGGCCAAGATATAGTAGGTGCTCAGTGAAATTTTGTTTCTGAGAAGCCAGTTGTCTTTGAATCTTCTTATATCCTACATCGAGTCTATGAGTAAATTCTGGTGGTCTTCATTGGGAATATATCTACCTCCCCTACCACTTGCCTTTTCTTAGACTCCACCACAGCCACAATGGTCTCCTCTCTGTTGGTGTTTTGGGGACCTGATGGCGATGGAGCCACCGCAGGGATCTGAATAGGGGAGGGTTATGAGCTGACTCGCGTTCCGACTCCCCCTGGTTGCATGTTTAGGAGCAGACTGCAGATGGGCGTGGGTAGGATGCAGGGAGACCTGGGAGAGGGGAGGTGCGATTAGCCCAGGCTGAGGACGAGGCTGGGCAGACTCAGATGGGCGTGGGCAGGAGGGAGAGGGCTGGTGGGTTCTGACCTGAGGTGAAGGGAGAACTGCCAGGGTGTACCCACAGGTTGGGCAGGGGTTTGAGAGGAGGTCACAACACCTCCAGGAATACCCAGAAGGCTGTGGCAGCGATGGCACAAGTGTCTGTCCCTGCAACACGGTGTACATGCTCGTGTCACCGTGTCTAAGCAGCATTCAGATGAGCTCCTTCTTTGAAGAATATCATGAGTTAATTTATGTAAAATGCTTAAAACAATCTCATGGGAGGTGGTTGCTCAATAAATAGCTGTCATCTCTGTTGTCCCTAATGCCCCCAGAGGTAAGCCAGTGTGGCCAGGTAAAGTGCTTGGGCGGATGCCAGGACGCCAACGTGGAGTTAGGATGCCATCATCTGTGCTGGGGTGCTAACCCCTTTCCACTCTYCCCACTGTGTCCTTCCAGGCCTGGCCCTGGTATCCCAGCTCTGCGCCACCCGCTCCATGGCTACACTGAACCAGATGCACCGTCTGGGGCCCCCAAAGCGGCCACCCCTGCGCCTGGGCCCCACGGAAGGCCGGCCGCAGCTGAAGGGCGTTGTTCTGCGCACGTTCATCCGCAAGCCCAAGAAGCCCAACTCAGCCAACCGCAAGTGCTGCCGCGTCCGGCTCAGCACAGGCCGCGAGGCTGTCTGCTTTATCCCCGGGGAGGGCCACAGCCTGCAGGAGCACCACGTTGTCCTTGTGCAGGGCGGCCGCACCCAAGACCTGCCAGGAGTCAAGCTCAAAGTTGTGCGGGGCAAGTATGACTGTGGCCACGTGCAGAAGAAGAAGTGATCAGCCAGTGCGCTGAGGCCTGGGCACCTGCAGAACAGGGATGTTCCTTGTAGGATCTCCAGCAGGTCCTTCAAGGTCTGCTCTTCCTGTTCTAGAGGCAGCCGGACCTGGGTTCAAAGCCCAGCTCTGCCTCTTCCTTCAGGATCACCATAGCCCGTAAGGTTCCCTGGGTGCTGTCAGCACCCTTGGCWTCTGTGTTTAGAGTTGGCCTGAGGGGCGTCTTCTGCCATCACCTGGGAAGCACACAGGTCCCCACGGTTGTGATGCAAACCGTCCCCACCTTTGTGCACCATTTGCCCTCTCGCTGTGGCCCTGGCAGCTGCCATCCTCTCTGGGCCTCAGTTTGCTCTTCCAAAAAATAATCCCATTTGCAGTGTCCTCTCCGTTTCGTTTGGTGAASATTAAACTACATGCCTCTGTGTACAGTGCATGCGTGTAGGGCTGTTTTAAGCTTTGAAGTCAAATAGGCAGCACTGAAATCTCCCACAGGTTGAGCGAGGGGCAGGGCACAGACAGCCCCACCCTCGAGCGTGGGCACCTGGGCAGTGGCAGCCATTGCAGGGTTGAGGTCGAAGGGTGCTGAAAGGGTTTAACAGCCCCTCGGAGTTCAGCAGAGCATCTTGCTGGGTCTGTAGACAGGATGCTGCCTGGTTCATGAATTGCTAACAAAAGCCAGTTATATCTTTAAAAAAGGATTAAACGAGGTGTGCTGCCTGACTCGATGTAGTGACTCACACGCCTGGGTTCAACCTATAGCGGCCCCCACTCTGGGCCTCTGTTTCCAAATGGCATTGACAGCAAGATACCGACTCATGGGATCGCAGGCCTGGCCATATTTGAATTTAAGCTGTGGGAGTTGTGTTTTCATCCTTGGGCTCTRGAGCCCAGGCCTCCCCTGCACTGGCCTGGTGAGCTATAATAATAGGTCATTTAAATGGTATTGATAAGGACACCTGCGTGAGAGCTGTTGGGAAGACCCCTGAGGGCAGAACTGGGAGTCACTCAGCTGTAGCCCTCTGGGTTCTGGAAGCTCATCTTTGTGCCRTAAGCATGCACAAAGATTGTAAACATGAAACTAAGGTCCTTTAAAAGACCAGAGCTGGAGATGAACCATTATACTGATAATAGACAAAAAACACCCGTTACCTCATGTTTAGCACCAATTTTATTGAGCTGGTTGGTTGGTTGACCATGCCCGGAAATGAGGAAAGCGCTCCTGGCACASCTTGCTTAAGAAGTCTCTATAAAAGATGGTGTGAGTGCAGGGAAGGAGGGTGGATCCGGCTGGAGCTGAGAGCAGGGACCTGGCCCCAGGGGAGGTGCTGATGGGCAGCGGGGTGGACATTGCTCAGCAGTGGGGGGGTTCATGGGGGGTTCATGGCCCCACAGCTGGATCCCGGAGACTCCCCAAACCACATGGGATTCCTTTGAGGTCTTTGYTGGTCTCCAGGTCAGATGCTCTGAACGGCCTCCGCTCCCTGCCGGCAGTCAGCTCACCCCAAAACACGCAGACCAGTCACCAGGGAATGGTTTACCCCGTGACATCACATAAGGAAATAATTTATAGACATGAACCAACTAAATGTCAGTTACTTTTATGACATCCCCAGCTGGGGAACTGAGGAAGCTCTAAGGAGCCCCCTGGGTCCCTGGTTTGTCACACAGCATGAGGACCRCCACGCCAAAACAGCAGCAAGTGGGTTACGGGAGGTGTGCCCGGAACAAGCCACACGGGACCCCCACTGTCCCTGAGTATCCTCTGGCTCTGGGATGTGAAGCCACCCTTGATTTTGACAGCATCCAGCAGGTGGCAGTGCAGTCTGGACTGCGGGGTCAGGCTGGTCACTAGGATGGGCGGATCCTGATTCTCACGCTGGAGTGGGTCACCAGGGCACCATAGTGTCCCACCCAAGAACGCATGTCTCTCCCGTACTGCTCAAAAGACACGTAGCGGATGCCCTTGCCGAAGTTGGTGAAGACGTGGGAGACCTGCGGGACGAGAAGGAGGGGTCCTGTGCTCGCCTCTTCGTCATCTCAGCAGCTGCTCCCAAATACCCAGCAGGCACCTCTGGGCCCTGCTGGGGGTGCTGGGGTGCTAGGGGACAGCAGTGAGGCCAGCAGCAAAAAAGACAAGCACAGGGTAAGGACTGTGTTCACCTTAACAGTACCCTGCACACAGTAGGCRCTCAATGTTTGTTGAAGGCTGTTGTGCTAATACATCTGCAAACATCCTGGAACRAGGCCTGGGATGTGATGTAAAAGGGTTCAGAAACCGTCAGCTATTACTACTGGCGTCCAGCGATGACAGCGGAGAAGGGAAGCCCCGTAGGTGACAGGTTGGGCGGGTGGGCCTTGGAGGGAGGGGGTCGAGGGTGAGGGGAWGGCGCTCTGGACCCACCTGTCGGCAGCTCCTCTCAGTCCATTGAAGGACCGGGTTGGGGGACGCTGAGAACTTGACCACTTCGTTTTCATACATGTCCAGGAGGCGGACCCGAAGCCGGTAGATGCAGCCGCAGTTTTCTCGGGCGCCCCACCTGCCGGGTGGCAGTGAGCCTTGATGCTCCTGCAACCCAGCCAGCTCTTTCTGGGTTGGGCATCAAGGAGGGAGGCTGAGGCTGGTTTTCTCTGCACCCAGATGAGGGTCCTACGCACCTACACAGCTTGGGCATCTCCGGGAGCGGAGCCTGTTCCTGAGATGGAGCCAGAGTCCGTGGGGGGAGCCTGGGTGCCCCCGGAGTGGAGTGGAGCCTGGAGGGCTGTGGGGGGGGGCTAGACTAGGGTGCGTGGGCTGTGAGGTCCGGGCCCCAGCCACAACCTAGGGGAGGAGCCCGAAGATCTGGAGAAAGAACTGGAGCCCCAGGGAAGAGACGGAGTGCCGCGCGGGGAACCTGGGTGCTCTGGAAGGAGGGAGCTCCTGTAAGCTCATGGTCCCCACCCCAACTGTGCTCCCTCTGAACGTCAGTTCTTAGGGCATGGCGCTGCTTTCAGAAGCCTTGGACCTTAGGGTCAACGCAGAGTTGGGGATGATGGTGACATCAGACCAGTTGCTGGCCTCATGTGAACAACCCAGGGGGTCTGCTGGGAAGAGGGTGGGGAGGCGGGCATAGCCTGTGCTCTGGGCTCACCAAGGGTCCACCCCTCCCTGGCTGTGCAACTATGACAGTCTGCTTCACCCAAAGAGTGCGCAGTTCCAGCCTGACCTCCGATGGAGGCTGGAACTGAGGTCTTGCTGCGCCACCACCATGGCTCACCTCTGTGGCTCCAGGACAAACTGCTACTCCACTCACCAGTCGGCCACGCAGATCTCGATCTGGGCGCTGTCCAGCAGCTCCTGCCACACGCCCTCCATCACCAGGTCCACAAGCTGCCTCTTGAAGCACCATCTGGGAGGGGAGACGCAGGAGATGGAGCACACAGTGCTGATCTTCAAGCTGCACCTAGAAATCACCTCTTCCAGGACGCTTCCTCAGATCACCATGCCTAAAGTAGCGGCTCAGGGTTTGCTTTCCAGGATAGGAAGATGCCCGATAGGCTGTGTCACTGCGTCACTGTRCTGGGCATCTCTCCTTGTGTCTCAGATCCCCTCCCCTTTTTCCACCCTGTTCTGGGCTCCAGGAGGCTGACCTATATACCAGCCTGCCCTGAGTGCTTGTGGGGGACTCGGGTATGAGTGCAAATGGAGGTCACACAGTGGACACACAAGCAGGGAGTTCCTGGGCCTCCTAAAATGTGGGGGCCCACTGGGCATGGTAGTGGGTACCTGTAGTCTTAGCTACTTAGGAGGCAGAGGCAGGAGGATTGCTTGGGCCCAGTTTGAGACCAACCTGAAGTTTGAGACAAGATCCAGTCTCAATTAAACAGAAAAAGAAAAATGTGTGGGGTCCCAGGGCCAAGGTCGCATGATCTTTATGGCATTGTCACCCTTATTTTCTGCTTCCTGGTGGTGGGCCAATGGGGTGCTGCAGCAGGAGATGCAAGGAAGGGGACAGAGTCAAAGTCAGGTACTAAACCTACTGGGTCCATCCTGAGAGACGGCTGTGTCTCCCAAAGGAAGACACAGCCCCTCAGCACCCTCTGCTTACAGCCTTCTCTGTCCTTTTTCAATAGCTGCTTCCTCCCTTCCCCTGAAGGCTGGAGGTGGCAATGTCCCTCCTCTTCTTCATTACTAGCCCAGCCCTGGGGTCCGGTAGGATCCCCTGTAGTCTGCCCAATATTTACAAACAGTTCCTTTTCCTARTTTGAATGTAAGATACTAACAGAAATAGTGTAGCCCTCTTTGAGAATACA